TGTACCCATTAATGCCGAGCGCCAGGCAGGGACCAACAAGTACCATATTTTAACGTCTTTTGGTATGACGCGGTCGGGGATCGAACCCGCGACCTTCCGCTCTCCGGGCGGACGCTCTAACCACTACACCACGGGGGCGGTCCTACTGTACAGAGGCCCATGGACAATGTCATTAGTGGAGGCCGAATCTTACATTACTGTTGGCTCACCACCACATTGAATGTCATTCTCGAACACGCACGCGTATTTTACACACCGACTGCCGCTCAGGTCCCACGCTGTTTTATCATGTCGATGGCACATGGAACGGATATGCGTTTCTTCTACTATTTGACATTTCGTACAACTTATTACCAGAAGATATTAAAAGCTGACATTTAGAATAGTCAGAATGCTAGGGTTATTTAGAAATGGAAGTTAAACCAATGAAGAGTTAGTTGCCAAAGAATGAAGGCAGAGCCTGTTGTCTGATGTTTCCATGTCGCCGCGGCATGTGAGTTGGACGTAAAGTATATTACGTTGTTGTATGTGTCCACGAATTGCAGCATCTCTCAGATGGTGCCTCTCGCCAAGAGACCAGGCGGAATAAATCCCTTTCACCGCTTCATAAGAGCTGATAATGAGGATCGGATGCTAGCAATGTTTAACCTGACCGAATGTATGTCATCGTGCCCCAGGTGGGGTCAAAGGGTGTATAACAAGATCCACAGTGCTCTAGTGCCGTTAAGCGCAGGACATGAGTAGACGTTTGTCTATCAGAATAGTACCATACAACCGGTGCAGGTCAACGGCCTTGATATGCGACCGACTATTAAATCGCTTATTGGTTGTCTCACAGGACAGCTGGGCACATTATACCATAGTAGACGTAAGGCGTACAAGGTTTCTCAATAGGTTCATTACTGGATCTGTTCCTATTGCAAGAGTTTTCTCATTTGAGGTTTAAACAACAGCGGATTTGTACAATCACCGTACGTCCTAATATTGATTCTAGCTCTGTTACGTAGTTTCTTTGAGCTAGGAAGCTTTCTTACCAGTGATAATTGCTGAACTCGTGAAAGCATTGGGAAAGTTTTGTTTAACCCAAGGGCCTTAGCAAATATTCTTATTTCGGCAAATACTCGTTGTTTGAAGTGACAGGTTACGCATTTCAATCAAATTAGTGCAGTACCGCTGCCGGACCAGCCTTTGTGTCTCGCCATCTGTGTGGTTGGGGCGAGGGCAATACATCAGACTGCTGCAGCCCGCTTTGAGGCGTTCGAATAGTGAGAGTAGATGGACTGATTGATTAATTAGCACATAAGGAGAAAGAGCTCAAGGTTGTGGACTGTTTTGTGAGATTTCTACCGGAAGTGATAGATATTCTTGCAGGGGTTTAAATGTCGTTTACTGTTGACCTTATGGCTCAAGTCTGTATCACCAATAACATTGTTATATGACCGCGCTTACTTTTTACGCCAGTGATATTACATCTAAACCTTCCTGATTCTTTCCTCTAATGTAATAATGTTGACATTACATACGCAAGGAAAACGACGCTAATTGGTTTTATGTGCGCTCGTATAGGTTGAAAATTGAATCCAATCTTCCATCTTGTGTATAGATGTACCGATGGTGTTACCAACGTTTGTTTGGACGCCAGTGGTTCCTCTGGCCGCGAATCAGAGAGCCGGAGGAGGTGTCTCCACGGAAAACCGCAGAACGACAAGTCCCAATATTACGTTTCCTAGTCGCCTTCCAATTTATGGTTGAAATCATCAGTTCATGTCATGGATCAAGAGTAGGTACTGAATACCGTGATATTGATGTGTAGTGCAATGTATAGTTATTAATGGAGTATGGTGGTCACTATATGGCGGAGATGCTGCCGATGTGATGACAGATTTTAACTCACTCATAGATGCATGATCATGTCCCGGACATACTTCACACTCCTGTGCGCTTGTATGAACAGCAATCGTTTGTTCCGTTAAATTTAAACGCGCGCGCACGCACGCACACTAACCATAGCAAAGCAACGTATCCATATCTTCTTTTGACTTACTTTCTGGATACAATGATCCTCCAGGAATATTTGAATGGCAAATCTAAACGCAAATAGGACGATAAACTGCAGTTTAATCATTGAAGCAAACATGGCAAAAATAACTCATTTTGTAGTGCTGATAACTATGGTCGTGTCACTTTAACAAATGTGCAGTCACTTTCAACATTCTGGCATGCAATCATCAAGAAATCCCATAAGTATCAATAAGCGAGAACAGTGTCATTTGCCAACTGGATTAACACCCCTGACCCTCCTCCTCATTGACTGTATCTTGGCTGACGTGGAGGCAGTCATTCCCGATATAGGGCTTGTTCCGATACATCAAGATTTTGATCAAGATCTCCCTGGCGCATTCTGCGGACGTTAGAAATCACCAACGGCACGAGCACGATGTCGGCCTTGACACCAAGCCAGTCCTGCTGCCTTGGGGATAACAACGGACGTCTGATAGGTCGTCTGGCTCTATACCCGCACGATTTTAGGCGATGTCGGACCGTTCTTAGGTACAAACGTCGATGTGGAAGCCACTGGAAAGGATAAAGTCTTGTGATTCTGAGAAGGGCTGTATCCTCCGTGGGAATTGCCACTCGTTTTCTACCTGAACACATTAATTTGCTGATGTTTTCTGGCCAATCGGCTGATCAACATCAATTGCAATAGCCCTTAATGACATGCCAGCATTTCGCATACCAGTAACTTGCCACCTTTAAGCAGTTGCCTCGAATTTGCTTATCAACAACCGCATCAATTGGTTTTCCAAGTTACTGAGCTGTAAGAACAGTTTACTGAAACTTGATATTTGCTTAATGACGGGTACACGTATTGCACGTGATGCTCGCCTTGGATCGTAGCACGTGCATATCTGAAATTAATGCATGAGTCGCTCGAAAGGTCAATATAATCATCGAAACATGATTGTGATATGAAAATATTGGGGTTAAAAATCATAAATAACTTTTCCACGTGTATATATTAAGGCTTAAAAGGGTACTTCTATCCTTTTAAATATAAACAATATAAACTTGAATATGGGACTCTCCTGAATGAGACGCGGGTCTTTTAAACAGGAAATTCGTATAGCGTTCGTACTGAAATAGCTGGGGGCACGGAACTTACTGGCGTAAGGCCATCTCCTTTTCCAGAAGACAATTTAATGCCATTACTTCGGAAGTTAGGTTCCTAATTGTGTGACACAGGCAGAAAATTTACATCAGGTTGGAGGTCGTAGCAGGCATGGGTGTCCCCAAACCCAATGGTTGCGACTGGTACTTCTTGATGTGAAATCATTTCCGAGGACATGGCGAAATATATTGGTTGCTTCTGTTATTGCAAACACCATTTTTAGGAGGAATAACCGTTATAGAATCGACAAAGGCTTATGACACTAACGTCCATATCCAAGTGATGTCTTGAAATACTGTACACACTATCAAAGTCAATGAGACTACAAGGGGACAGTTTGTCGACATGCGGCTATGAAATACTGTACACACTATCAAAGTCAATGAGACTACAAGGGGACAGTTTGTCGACATGCGGCTATGAAATACTGTACACACTATCAAAGTCAATGAGACTACAAGGGGACAGTTTGTCGACATGCGGCTATGAAATACTGTACACACTATCAAAGTCAATGAGACTACAAGGGGACAGTTTGTCGACATGCGGCTATGAAATACTGTACACACTATCAAAGTCAATGAGACTACAATGGACTACAAGGGGACAGTTTGTCGACATGCGGCTATGAAATACTGTACACACAAAGTCAATCAAAGTTGTCGACATGAGACTAATGAGAGGGGACAGTTTGTCGACATGCGGCTATGAAATACTGTACACACTATCAAAGTCAATGAGACTGAGACACAAGGGGACAGTTTGTCGACATGCGGCTATGAAATACTGTACACACCATCAAAGTCAATGAGACTACAAGGGGACAGTTTGTCGACATGCGGCTATGAAATACTGTACACAACATCAAAGTCAATGAGACTACAAGAGGACAGTTTGTCGACATGCGGCTATGAAATACTGTACACACTATCAAAGTCAATGAGACTACAAGGGGACAGTTTGTCGACATGCGGCTATGAAATACTGTACACACTATCAAAGTCAATGAGACTACAAGGGGACAGTTTGTCGACATGCGGCTATGAAATACTGTACACACTATCAAAGTCAATGAGACTACAAGGGGACAGTTTGTCGACATGCGGCTATGACATACTGTACACACTATCAAAGTCAATGACTCTACAAGGGAACAGTTTGTCGACATGCGGCTATGAAATACTGTACACACTATCAAAGTCAATGAGACTACAAGGGGACAGTTTGTCGACATGCGGCTATGAAATACTGTACACACTATCAAAGTCAATGAGACTACAAGGGGACAGTTTGTCGACATGCGGCTATGAAATACTGTACACACTATCAAAGTCAATGAGACTACAAGGGGAACAGTTTGTCGACATGCGGCTATGAAATACTGTACACACTATCAAAGTCAATGAGACTACAAGGGGACAGTTTGTCGACATGCGGCTATGAAATACTGTACACACTATCAAAGTCAATGAGACTACAAGGGGACAGTTTGTCGACATGCGGCTATGAAATACTGTACACACTATCAAAGTCAATGAGACTACAAGGGGACAGTTTGTCGACATGCGGCTATGATGGAACTGTACTAACGTTTACTTCGGCGTTCACGATTGTTCAGTTCCCATCTCACATAGTTTTTGGTTCCCCGATGACGATCGTGTTGGTGTTCAGAGCTGTGGTAATTTGAAGATGTGTTTAGTCAAACCATGAACAAGAACAATGTGTAACAGTAAGTGTTGTGTATACAGTTTTGTTTCTTGCTACTTTCGGCGAGTTACAAATCGATTTAAGAAGGAGCTGTGTTGTGAACTGCGATGTGTTTCTGTTGCAGGTGTGCGAGTTACACGTGTCCGGCTACCAGTTCGTCGTGCTCAACAATGCATTCCTGGCCCACAGTGGCTTCAAGAGGAGAGAGGAGTTCCACGCCTCGAAGAACAAGGAACTGACCAAGAACAAAATTCTGTTTGGGAAGTTTAAGGATGAACTGAAGGTTAAGTACCCGAACTCCACCAGGACATGTTTATGATGTGGCGGTTGTACATGTACCTTTGCTTGTGCAGGGTGTCTGCAAGCCGTTCATGTTCCACAACTATCAGATATGTGTGGGTGCTACATCGTCTCCAGATTGCGTTTCCTGGTTACGTCCAGCAAGGTTACAGAGGGGTTATATGACGATATCAGTGCTAGGGCTGGGACGGGTAGGAAAAAATGGAATCGAGTACCCGCATGTTCTTACCCGAATCGGAATCGAGTACCCGGAAACGTCAAGAATAAAGCGCTTCTGTCAACTTTCTGAATATTCAATCACGATTTGACAGAGATTTTTATAGAAAACATGAAAGGATGGCAATAAGACATTGAAACTGATCTTAAACTACTTAATTTACGTCTGTTTAACTGATACAAAGAGCAACACCATTACTAACTTACATTCCACTATGACTTGACAACTCATTGCTCATGTGCAGATATATTACAGTCGTTATTAATAACCTCCATTATCCGGACAATACCAAAGATGTAATTAAATGTGTGTTACGTCAATGAAAAAAGGCAAATTATTCTGTTGTTGAACTACTTTCAGATGTGATATTCTAACTGAACCTATAATGTTTTACATTGGGACTTTATGTAAACTTACATAGAATGAAATGTGATGGATTTACTGACTGGAAAATTCTATACGAGATATACAGATCGGCAATCTGTAATGCAACTGAGTTAAGCAGCATAGCAAAATGCTTCGCTCGCATGAGGGAAGACTGGTCATTTTGCTCTGTTGCGCAAGTCAGTTGCATTACAGTGTGTCTATTATACATTGCAGAGTACAGACAAATACAGGGCCGTGAATAACTCATTAACCGTAATTAAAGTTTTATCCTTCCAGAAGGTTATTAAAAGTTGCATTAAAATACTTTTGTTCGAATGTAGCGACAAAGAAATGCATCTAAATGCTATATTTTTACGTTTAGATAAACAAAAACAGCACAAAACTATTGTTATTTAAATATTCTAAATTTGTATAAAAGTGAACATTGAGTTCTTCATTGGAAGTTGTGTTTCTATATATTTCTGATTATCTTTCTTCTTATTGTCATGATAATCAGCCGAACATTGAATTTGCAAATCAGAACGTGCTCTTTCAATAAACGTTCGTTTTATTATGTTAATTTATCAGTTTTAATTGATAATCCCAACACATACAATCATTTAATTACAATCTCTTTTATGGTGAATGTATTCAGCTTTGACGCAGAAGTAAAATATGTGTCTCATGAAATTGAAATGAAATATAAACTAAAGACAACATTCAATGTAGTCTTAACAGCTTTTTATGAACTAACTTAATAAGCAATTAGAGTTACACAATGTAATGAACACCTTCGTGTTTTACGTTGTGTTTTACGTTGTGTTTCTACAATAAATAGCATGGTACACGCAGTCGCCAATTGGTTCTGCCATTTGCATCAAGCTCAAAATGAGCCCAAACACTCAACTTAGCACTTTTGCTCTAGGTTAGAGTTACATTCCCTTGACATTACAGAGTTCTCTCCCTTTCCGGGTACTCGATTCCTTGAAATAGGACTCGATTCCAGCTGTACCCGACCCGGATTCGAGTACCCGAGTATCCGTCCCAGCCCTAATCAGTGCAGTATATGTTAACGCTACGTGCGTTACAATCAACGTAATTATTCAAATACATGTATATCTGGAAAGTGGTATTAGGGCATTAGTTTCTTGCTTTCTTTCAAGAACCATTGTCAGAACTCTTTATGCTATTTTATGAAGGTAAATGAAACATATTTAAGGGTGATGAGGCAAGTTATGCATATATCGTCATGTGGGAAAGGATTTCGGGCCAGAACAAACATGTTGGCGTATAGGCTTGCACAAGCATAAGGTCACATTTCGTTTGTAAGAGGTACTTAAAGTTGAGAGATAACTGAAATGTTGTTACCATGGTAAGTATTGATCATGCAGGTGAAACAAAACAGATCGGGAAACAAGGAAGATGTATGAGGATGTTTGTGGGCGGAACGTTATTGGGATACTTGCGAGCGTAAGTGCTCAGTTTATGTATTTTGGTAACCTGTTGACACAGAAGACTTTTGGCTTGTCCTGCGGACAGTTGATTTGTGACAAGATTTCAGTTCCCCACGTAACGTCGATGGTGATTGATATCATGTAGCTACAAGAACAGGAAACTATGACTAATGGCATACCGTGGTTGGAAGACCCTGACAGAGTTTCAGTAGAAATGACTGATTGGTTCCAGAGTTCGGTCTACCGAGTATATGACGGCAGTCCAGATGGAGCAGGCGACGTCATGTCTCCAACATTCCTTCAGCCTGTCTGTATGGCAGTATGTCCTTCCTATCAACATGTCAAGGGTTGCTACTGGGCTTTCCTCTTCTCTGTACATGGGCGACTATTGAGGCTATTTTACACTTGGGGTTAATGGGGGCAGTTTGTACGTTGTGTTGTGTTCATTGGAATTACTTCAACCTGGGGTAAGTATATTCTCCTCGAGGAAATCTATTAAGCAGACATGTTTTTGTATACATTTTGCCTTCAATCCATGTTGTGTATAACTGATGTATTTTCTGCATAAACGTATCACAATACTAGTCATGTTATGTTCTTTGTTTAGGGTGACAAATAGTGAGTCCGAGGTATGGTTGGTGAACCGGCTCAGTATACAACGCCTAGTATATAAAACTTGGTAGCTCCGGGGTGAACCAGCTCAGCATACAACGCCTGTATGAAACTTGGTAGTTCCGGGGTGAACCGGTTCAGTATACAACGCCTAATATATGAAACTTGGTAGTTCCGGGATGAACCGGCTCAGGATACAACGCCTAGTATATGAAACTTGGTAGTTCCGGGGTGAACTGGCTCAGGATACAACGCCTAGCATATGAAACTTGGTAGTTCCAGGGTGAACCGGCTCAGGATACAACGCCTAGTATATGAAACTTGGTAGTTCCGGGGTGAACCGGCTCAGTATACAACGCCTAGTATATGAAACTTGGTAGTTCCGGGATGAACCACCTCAGTATACAACGTCGAGTATATGAAACGTGGTAGTTCCGGGGTGAACCGGCTCAGTATACAACGACTAGTATATGAAACTTGGTAGTTCCGGGGTGAACCGGCTCAGGATACAACGCCTAGTATATGAAACTTGGTAGTTCCGGGGTGAACCGCCTCAGTATACAATGCCTAGTATATGAACCTTGGTAGTTCCGGGTGAACCGGCTCAGGATACAACGCCTAGTATATGAAACTTGGTAGTTATGGGGTGAACCGGCTCAGGATACAACGCCTAGTATATGAAACTTGGTAGTTCCGGGGTGAACCGGCTCAGTATACAACGCCTAGTATATGAACCTTGGTAGTTATGGGGTGAACCGGCTCAGGATACAACGCCTACATGAACCTTGGTAGTTCCGGGAATCGCTAATATTGGTCAATAAGAAAAACATCGCATGTGCCATATTTCACCAATATCCATATAGCATTTACGTAGATGTAGTTACATTGTCCCCAGAAATGGAGGTCCAACGAGAAAAATCTTTTTAAAAATGGTTATATTATCAGTGATTATTTCTGCAATAGCTGGCAACGATAATTAAAGGAGAAATAACTTCAGACTGTTGTTGAAACCGTTAAGCCGCCCTGGGGTGAGTGGGTTCTTAGGCTGCTTATAGCAATATTACAGCAATATCACGGCGGGGGACATCAGACATGGGCTTCACGCGCTGTACCCATAAGGGGAATCGAGCTCGGGCCTTCAGCGTGACGAGCGGACGCTTTAACCACTAGGCTACCCCACAGCCCCTTTAAGCCGCCCTGGACAAGTTGATGATGTCAGACCAGGGCAAACATCGCTGTCTCGGGAATAGTAACAGACACGCAGGGTGCCGAGCGTCACTGTGGAGCGAGTCAAGATTTTACGTCGCATCCTCATTATTTCACTGTGGCTAACACCTGGCATCTCGGCACTCCAGGAACGGTCACCTTCATCAATCACGACACATTCAATGTATAACAACAACCACATTCAGTATCCAATATCACCCACGACAGTCACATCTAGTATCTCATGTCAATCACGACAGTCACATCCAGTATCCCACGACAGTCACACCCAGTATCCCACGTAAACCGCGACAGTCACATTAAGTATGCACCATTACTAACGACAGTCACATTAGGTATCTAACATTACCAACTACAGTCACATCCAGTATCTAACATTACCAACGACAGACACATCCAGTATCTAACATTACCAACGACAGTCACATCCAGTATCTAACATCAACAACGACAGTCACATCCAGTATCTAGTCATTACCAGCGACAGTCACATCCAGTATCTAACATTACCAACGACAGTCACATCCAGTATCTAACATTACCAACGACAGTCACATCCAGTATCTAACATTACCAACGACAGTCACATCCAGTATCTAACATTACCAACGACAGTCACATCCAGCATCTAACATTACCAACGACAGTCACATCCAGTATCTAACATTACCAACGACAGTCACATCCAGTATCTAACATTACCAACGACAGTCATCCAGTATCTAACATTACCAACAGTCATCCATCCGGTATCTAACATTACCAACGACAGTCACATCCAGTATCTAACATTACCAACGACAGTCACATCCTGTATCTAACATTACCAACGACAGTCACATCCAGTATCTAACATTACCAACGACAGTCATCCATCTAACATCTAACATTACCAACGACAGTCACATCCGGTATCTAACATTACCAACGACAGTCACATCCAGTATCTAACATTACCAACGACAGTCACATCCAGTATCTAACATTACCAACGACAGTCACATCCAGTATCTAACATTACCAACGACAGTCACATCCAGTATCTAACATCACCAACGACCACCAACAGTCACAGTCTAACATCCAGTATCTAACATTACCAACGACAGTCACATCCAGTATCTAACATTACCAACGACAGTCACATCCAGTATCTAACATTACCAACGACAGTCACATCCAGTATCTAACATTACCAACGACAGTCACATCCAGTATCTAACATTACCAACGACAGTCACATCCAGTATCTAACATTACCAACGACAGTCACATCCAGTATCTAACATTACCAACGACAGTC